CTCTATCTTGCACAGATCTATAACATGAGTTTTTTTATGAAACTTTTCTCTAGGATTTCTTCTGTCTCAGGCTGTGCCACGGACTGTGCCATATATCAAAATATGCGTGTTGACGAGACGAAGAAATCTCCAAAATTTAGGCTTGATTGGGCTTAAAACAGAGAAGTTACGGCTCTTGGAAGATGATCCCGAGTTCATAAGGCATAGTTTCCAGAAACGAAAACTGGTTCACCGAGGGTACACTAGATTAGTGTAAAACCTACCCTTTGTGGGTAAGTTGGCCCTAAAATAGTCTAGAAACGCCCGAATAAGCTGAAATTTGATATCTAAGGGTTTTTAGACATTCTAAATCCAATGGAAGCAGTCTGGTACTCATATGAGACCCCAATAATAGGGTTGTAGTTATGATGCACTTTTCTAGCATGTTAAGAGCCGGATTTGAAAATTGATTTTCTGTCTAATATACTTTAACTTTGTCAGATCGCAATGAAATGTGGCGGGTATTCTTAGTGAGTTAAATGACACCCCACATGCATCTTGGGACCAATCCGACACTTTTCAAAATTCTCTCAAAATCAAGGTTTATTGTATCAGTGCTTCTGTAGTCCGCAGATATTTTGGTACCCGTAGGCCTAGGTCGCAATTGGCTTCCTCCTTATTCGCACCAAAGATACAGGTGTTGAAAAATACCCTATAACATTATCGTCCTCGTATCTCGACAGTTAAAATTCGTACGGAGATGGCTTAACATATCACCCTCATCACTCGGCAGGTAAGGCCCTAAAAGCTTTACACATTGTGAGACATTTGGTTACCAAATTGGGGATTTCTTCCTTGATATGGGGAGTTTTCTCATGAAAGTAGAATTGTTGGATTCTTGACTCATTACTTCATCACCCTTAAAAGGTATAGCATGGGTTAATTTGAACAACAGAAGTGGTTGCAATCCACAGACATCGGTGACGAATTCCTGATTTTTCTCCAGTGAAACCATGACCAAGCCCGAGGTTCGAATGTTCAAAATTCAAAATGGTTATCGGTTGGAAAGAGTAATTATCATCAAGAGATACCTACCTAAACAACTCAAGCAGTGAGATTATCATCGATTCAAATCAGCATAAAATGATAAACACAAAACATAAACAGTGTTGTGAAGATAAGAGGTACACCCTGCAAATTCTGTGATTTAAACGAAAGGATAAGTCCAAGATGAAGATGAAGGGTGAAGATTCAAAGATGAGAAATACATGGTCATCCCTTATAAAACATAAGGGTTTTATCTCAGTAAGAACTAAGAGTGGAAAAGAGAGTGAGATACTCAGGATACGGAGAGAGAGAGAGATAGATAATCATCTTCTACGTTCCACTTGAGACCCCCTCTCCTAAGAAGACAGTCTTGAAGAATAATATACATCCGTTGTTTGGGAGACGTTACGATAGATCTAACACTGTAGAAGCATAGATAATCGCGAGGCAATCATTTTGATATAAGATTTGAGGCTTGAATCGAACTTTTGTTTATGGTTCCAAAAATTTGTCCAAACTCACAAACTTGAGATTTTTTCGATCTTCAATCTATAATGCCTCGTCACACTCTTGGTCTTCTTTTCATCACAAATTGAAGGGAAATTTGTTGTGATCGTTTAGCAGTGAAAACCCCTCGATTTATGGAGGTCGCTGGATAATGGTATTCCGTTGACCAGAAAATTGTGCCTTCTTACAAGCATTAATGGGATGTCTTCCTAGCCTCTATCTTGAGCAAATAATATGTCAAAACAAAGCCCTCTAAGTCACGATCAATTGACCCAGCCTTGAGCTTATAGGAATCTGAAATCTTGAGATTTGATCATCAGAATGGCAACATACGCTGTTCATAAAATTCTGATTTTTCATGTTTCCGTACAGCTTTCTCTCTTAGATTTCTCTTTATTTGGGAGTCCCCACCGTGCATGCCATCCACCCAAACGTAGGTCTCGGTGAGGGGAATGGCATATTAAAATTTGGGATAGATCCGCTTCAAGGTGAAAGAGAAACATGTTTCACAAATTGCCCCATTTTTGGAGAACGCAGTTACTATAAATAGTAACTGGTTCAATGGGGTTCAAGTGAATAGTAAAATTCTTGCATTTTTAGGAAAGGAGGACCTAAAAAGGTTCGTTTAAGCTGAAATTTGACATGCAGACTGGTTTCGGCCTTCTAAATCAATATGTGGTGGTCCCATGGCCATTAGACGCCTATATGGTAGAGTTGTAGTTATGGTGCACCGCAGTCATGTCAATGATTATGGCTCGAAACCGTTTTTGTACCTATTTCTCATATTTGCACCCGAATTGAACGAAGCTTAGAGGGCATCCTTAGAGCATCATAGGAGGCTCATGTGCTTCATTTGGGATTGAAAGGATATTGAACTCCCTTACCTAATAGATGTTATAATTATAATAGCTTAATATTATTTATATTTTTTCTTTGTTGATTTCCTTTCCCCTTCTCCCTGCATCAATGCTGATTCAGGTTTTTGAAACCCTACAAACGTTTGCCTTAGTGAAATTGGGGCAAAACAACAAAAAATGTATATGCGATGATTTAGGGTTTTTAAAATAATATATCGTTTTAGGGGTGGTTTAAATTTGACAGAGAGGATTCTACACGGAGAGAGATAGAGAAAGAGGAGACCCAGTTGGGGTTCAAGTGAGGGCTCTTTACATTTTAGGTCAATAACTCTTCGCCAAGAGGGTTTAATTTTGGCTTTCCAGCCTAGCAAATGGCACTCAGTGTATAGCGCGAGGCGGTCCGAAATCAAATCAGGCTTTCTTGACCTGGTTTGGGGGCAGCTCAAAGCCCCAAAAGTCAGCTCAAAATCAATCCAAATTTTGAGTCAGCCCAAAAGCCGCATCATAGCCCAAACCATTAGCAATCGTACCCAGGCGTGAGGGGTAGGGGCCGTGGTTGCTTGAATCTGGCCTAGACTTGGGCTCGATCCCTAATTTTTAGGACTGGGCCACCTTGCCCATTGCCTCCCTTAATCCTACCTCTTGGTGAATAATAAAAGCCCTCCCTCTATTTATGCATTAAACCTTCAATAGTTTTGCATAAATAGTTTTGCATAAAGGAAAATGTTTGTATAGAGCCAAGGCTCTAAACAATCAAATTAGAGCCCACCTCAAAAATTTCATTACAAGAGGTTGTTTTGATGCTGAGATATTTTCAACTGATCATCTGGACATCAAGATGCATGGACATGAGAAAAAAAAAATGAATTTCAAGTTTTGAAAATAGTATATCTTGTAACGAATTTTCAAGATTTTAAGTTTTCATAGATCAATTTGATCTACATTATTTTTGAAGCTTTAAATTTTATAATTAAAGATGAAAATATATTTTAAAGCTATTACAAAGATTTCCAGTATTGAAATCACATTTCTCGACACTATTTGAAATTGCACTTTACTTTGATTGTTTGGAGCCTTGGCTCTATACAAACTGCGACCTATTGTAAAATCCCACTCATAATTATGTTGGGTCAGTGATTTCATGCAACGGTTGTTTTATAGTACGATGCAACAACCTTTAAAAATCATGTTAAGGCTATTCGTTTGATCCAAATTTTGAACTATATACTATTTTCATTCTAATGAACAATCATATAAAAAGAAAATTTTGAAAATGTAACTTAGAAAGTATTTTAACATAGGCCATCCATTTTGGTGAGAAGCTTAGATCTAGACTTTAGAAGGATTTTTTCTTTTCCAGTTTTTTTAAATGGCTTTATTATCGTTAGATAAACAATGTTAAAAAGGAAAAAAATGATTTTGAATTTGTAAAGGCTAAGATCTTGAAATTCACCAAATGAATGGTCTAGATTCGTTGTTAGAGGTGGCTCATTTGACCATATCTAGGGTTCAAATTGAAATTTTTTTTTTTTTGAGATTGATTATTCAGATGAAGAGTGTGTGTGCAAAATTTTAGAGTATACATATACCACAAACTTGATTTTTTAGAAGTATGGTTGCATTATACTATGAAACAACCGTTTTATGAAATGAATATTTCAATACTCACGTCCTTTTAGTACTCTTTGACTAATGAATCATTTCACTAATGACTCATTTACCATAACACTCGAGGAAAATGTTAAGGAAAAATTACAAAAACATCCATTGACTCAACTTTCTTTAGAACCTTCCCTAATCAATTTTTTATCACAATTTTTATTTCAAAACTAACTTTTATGAAAAATACTCCCAAAGTAAAAAAATCATACTTCTTTAGACCAATATAGCCTTAACCACATGTGAAGGCCCCACATTCCCATAGATGCTCAATCACCAAAGACAGCCCCGCACATATTATTGTCATGCCAGAACACATGCCTCATTAATTGTCAGACCGCATCAACAATATGTTGGACCTCATGCAACTTATACTGGACCGAGGCATCATAGTGCCGGATCGACAAAATTGCCAAACCACATCAACAATCTGTCAGACCGCATTTACAAATGTCGGGCCGAGGCATCGTAACTATCAAACCGCATCAACAATCTGCCAGGCTGCATTTACGAGTGTCGGGCCGATGGCATTCAACAACCAAGGAGAGGGGTTTTGATTCAAAGAACTCTAACTTTTTGAGTTCAGGGATATTTGCTATAAAACTTAGTTTTGACGTAAAACTCTCAAAAAAAAAAATAGCTAGAAGAAGTTATAAAGAAAGTTAAGTTTTTTATCATCATTATCGTCATTTTATTTGGTACCAACTATATAAATCTTGATTATTCATTGTGCTATATTAAAAAGCCATATCTTCAATGTGGATATCCAACCTCGTCCGTTTGAACCTACCCCTAATCAAGGGACTTTTTGTAATTTTTACAAATATTTATAGCACAACGTGCAATGGAGATAAGTGGACGGGGGTAGGTTAGTCATTTGTTAAAAATGCCGATTCTTTCTTTCGCGCTTTAATCAATGTGTTCTGGTAGGGTCGGATGAAGGTTGGGAGGGCGCGGGGAGAGTGTAAAGCGTGTTATAATTTATGACCACCACTGTTAGAGAGAGAAAGTTTCGCCAATTGGGTTGAGAGAGAGAGTGGGAGAAACAAGAGAGAAGAAAGGCCACTCCCCCTCTTCTTCTAATTCCCCTCTGTCTCTTTCCCCTTCCGGTCTGATCGCCATGAAGAGGCCATCAATTGAAGAAACGGACTCCATTTCCACGGTGAAGAAGCAAAGAATTTCATCAGGTGAGGAAGAAGAAGGAGAGCAAAAGGGGAGATTTTTCCAGGAAGGAGGAGGAGAAGGTGGAGAGGGAAGATCGAATGGTGGGTTCAGGCTCGACGATGACCTGCTATTCGAGGTGCTGAAGCACGTTGACGCAAGGTCTTTAGCCACCGCATCCTGCGTGAGCCACCAGTGGCACAGGGCTGCCCAGGACGAGCGCCTCTGGGAGATTGTCTGCACCCGGCACTGGACCAACATCGGCTGCGGTAATCAGCAGCTTCGCTCGGTTGTTCTCGCTCTCGGTGGATTCCGCCGCCTCCACTCTCTCTGTTTATTGCCACTCCTCAAACCTCTCTCTTCTTCCTCCGCATCTTCTTCTCTCTCTCCTTTGCCGCCTTCTCTTATACAGGCAACGCCACCGACCCATTGGGGAAAAGATGAGGTCCAGCTCTCTCTGTCTCTTCTCTCTATTCGCTATTTTGAGAAGATGAATCCCAGCACGAATCGGAACAACCAATCGAATGCTCCTCCCAAGTCGATCTGTAAATTGCTGGAGGATGCCGGATCTCAGATGAAGAACCTACTCTAACTTTTTGGGCTTTTCCCTTTTCTTTCTTGTTAAATCAGTGATTTTTAATTTTCTGTTTTGTTGGTTTTGTTCGACTGATGATTTGTTAATTTGGGCTGCTTTCTTCTTCTTCTTTTGGGCTATGTTGCAGGGCTGATTGTCTGAAACTCTTTTGTACCCATGGATGATGGATCTGTAACTTGTTTTCCTTTTTTTTTTGGATTTTTTTTCAGTGATAATTCCTTCCTTTGGGTTGCGTCTGTTTCTTATGAGAATTATTCTGTAATATATGAACTATATTTTTCATTGCAAATTTGTAATTACTTCCTGGTTTCAATGGCTTGGGAGAAAGAGAAGGGGTGAAACGCAATTCATGCCGGCCAAGCTGCACATTATTTCCCAACAGAAACTGACAGAGGCAAAGTCTGAATTATTTAGCATTCGGTGGGGTGGGGTGTCCACTTTCATTGCATCTCTCTTGCTCACCATTCCGCATGCGCCTGGCTTCTTTCGTTGTAGCGTGCGAAGCAAACAAGAGAAAATTTGAGAGATGTTTCTCGCCTCTGACTAGCATTTTTTATCTTTTTCTGCTTTTCTGACAACCGATGATGTGTGCCTTTTGGCGTTTAGTGACCACCCATGTTGGAGTGAGCTTTCTAGGGTTAGAAAGGTTAGGAATTAGGGTTTTAAGTTGGGGATAGGGGTAGAAATGCGTCTGCTGTCGTCCAGTTCCCCATGGACCCGGACCCGGACCCGGACCCAAAATCCATACATAGTACCCGGGCCCAGCTGCGTCCAAAATAAATCCATACATCGGGCCTTGACCTGGACTTGGACCCGACTGGGTCCAAATATTCCCGACCCGAAAATTATGTGGAGAACCCGGACCCGGACCCAGACCCAGACCCAATGCATGATACATAGAAACAATAAAAAATTACCCGTGTACCTAAAAATCACCAAAAATATGTAAATAGCAAATAAGAAGATTTGAGCAATAATTTATCACTTTTCTACTAATAAGAACATTTGAAAACAAAAAAAAACATTTATATTGAGTGTACGTAAATAGTTTCCAAAAAATGTTTACATATGTAAATACTTTACCTATGTAAATATTTGCATATGCATTTTTTTTAACATGTTGGATAGCACATTTAAAAAACTCATTGTAAACAGTTTCATATGTTTGGTAGTGCTGGTTGGTGTGAAAATATTTACACAAAACCTCGAATAGATATGAAAATATATAATATAATAAATATGTATATTATATATAAGGTGCGGTTTGTATAGATCTTAGACTCTAAACAATCAAATTAGAGCCTACAATGTAGTTTCAATAATGAAAATCTTTGTGATAGTCTTAACATATATTTTCATTTTTCTTTATAAAGTTTAAAGCTTCAAAAATAGTGTAGATCTATAGATATATGAAAACTTGAAAATCTTGATAACTGACGGTTCAAAATGTGTTACAAAATACAATAGTTTCAAAACTTGAAATCCATTTTTTTTTCTCATGTCT